GCCCCGCATCGGGGAGCAGCTCGTCCCCGCTCCCTGCCCAACAGGTACCCGCCTCGCCGGCGCGGGAGGGAGAGCCGGGAAGTGAACGCTGCCCCCGCCCCGGCGGGCGCGCACACGGGAGAGGGGGAGCAGCAAACTCGCCGGCAGCGGGGATTTCTTCCCTCCATCACCAGCCCGATGCCCCCGAGGGGGCGGCTCCGCTGTTTTGGGGGGCGCCCCCGGCCCCAAACCCCGCGCTTACTTGCCGAATGGGGCCCTGGAGGTGCTCTCTTCAGACGGAGGGAGAGGGGTCGGCGCTGCGTCTGGTCTCGGGGTGGTCGGAGCCACGGGCATCCCGATGTACAGACAGACGCGGACGCATGTAATCGGTGCGGCTACAGAGAGGGACCTACAGTACAGTCTTCCACAGACAGACAGGCAGGCAAACATACACAGCGCAGCGTGCGTGTATATGGCTCTGTATCCGGCTGTATGTGTGTAGAAGTTTGCGTGCTCTGTACGAATGCATGGATACGCATATATATGCATAAGGTACGCCTATAGAATGTGTACACAGAGAAGAGAGAGAGAGATGCAGTAGACCGGGCGACAGGGATTTATGTGTATATTGGGAACTTTAGAATAAATGAGGATTTTCTGCTGTGAGAACTCGGAAATGTGACGGCAGTCAACTGTATTCAGGGCAAAAACAGTTTGGGTCTGGACATCGTGTGTCTTTCTACTCCACTAAGAACAGCACAGGTGTGATTTTTATCGACTTCAATTCTCCAGGTGCGTGGAGCTTTGCACCAGGCGTCAGGGTAATGAGAATATTCCCCTTTGCTTTCAGAATCGGAAATGACAAAATTTCACTTACCTGACGGTAATCTGGAAACAAAAAACTCTGCTAGAGGTACAACGGGTGATCAGAAATCTCGGAAGCACAAACCTTTGCTCCCTCCTCCCTTAGACATAATTTCCAAGTTCTGGGGGAGTCGTTTTTAATTATGACATAAAAAAAAAAAAAAAAGGTTCTGCTGGAAGATGCAGTCTTGCTTTTAGAATAACTCCTACATGATGCCTAGAAGGGCTGGCTAGAGACACTTCTGTTCCCGAAGTTATTTATTGAAGGAATGAGGCAGCTCAGGGAAAATCCGCTGTGAGTCAGGCAATTAATTCCCAGTCATGCACTTTCGGTTTTTTTCAACCTGAACGTCTCTTTACTAGATTATACAGCAGTTCTTTCCTGTTGACTTTGGCTAATTGCAGTTACTGTGAATTGCTAATAATCACTTGCTACAAGACTCGCGCTCTTTTCCGTCGCCAGCAGAGAAATGCAGGTGGACTCCAGACCGCCTGCTGGCTTGGGAAAATAAGGGCCGGAACAGGGAAGGGA